TAACTTAACTTAACTTAACTTAACTTAACTTAACTTAACTTAACTTAACTTAACTTAACTTAACTTAACTTAACTTAACTTAACTTAACTTAACTTAACTTAACTCTTTCCTTTCCTTTCTTTTCCTTTCCTTTCCTTTCCTTTCCTTTCCTGTATTTTCCTGTATTTTCCTTTCATTTCATTTCAGTTCCTTAACGCAACGCAACTTAACTTAACTTAACTTAACTTAACTTAACTTAACTTAAAGGTACAATAGGAGATCTTGGAAAATGCTAACTTTAGCCTGATAGCACTGAAAGCGAACGTCCCACCCTTCCTGCAATCGCCGTCCAAAGCCACGCCCCCTGAACGCATTTACACTCACAGACCAGAGACAACATTACTACAATAGGCAACACCAGGTTCCCAATTCCAGCCCATGTTCCGAAGTGAAGTAAACTTCAACGGATTTACCCCGCTCAGGGAGTAGGGAGCAATGAACACTGTGTAGGGATCATATCGATCGGAACACAGTTCATGCACGTAGCTCACTTCTAACGAGCTGGCGCGAGGACTGGATTAACCGCTGGGCTACATCATGTGTCATTCACAGGTGAGAAATCTTTAAAAGCACTACAATACCAGGAAGGAAGATCGGCTTGTTGATGTTTGCCTGCCATCCTCGCTCTGTCTGCACAGCGTGCGGGAACGCGCTGATGAGTATCCTGTCTGCGCAAACTGGGTGCGCAGAGGTATGCTAATACATACGTTGACAAGCAGGTAGGAAAGCATATTAAAACGCTCGGACCGAACGTTTTGATTAGACGAACATTTCTTGATCCTACACCTTCCACAGAATATATAAATACAGACAAATACATTTAGACCACTTAACTTAATGATTGCTATCGGGATGTGAAGAGACTTTCAACCAGCATAACAAAAAATGTTTCTGAAGACAATCACCTATTGCTCCTTTAACTCTTTCCTATGTCCTTTCCTTTCCTTTCCTTTCCTTTCTTTAAATAAACTTAACTCTTTCCTATGTCCTGTCCTTTTCTGTGCTGTCCTGTATTTTCCTTTCCTTTCCTTTCCTTACCTTACCATTACCACACTTTTCCTTAACTTTATGCTATGCATCTTACCTTTCTGCACATTTTTTCCACAGCAAACTGTTCCTTTCTTACTCACACTTTTCCGCACATTACATTTCCACAGCACAAATTGCATTTCGTGGTAAATAAAGCATGCCCAATTTAGCATTATTGGAATGCCTTTTCTAACAATGCATAAGATTTTACAAGACATCATAATAATGTGAGTTATACCTTTTTTTGAAACATGCTTTGTGTCAGGAACACACCTACGATGCCTTAAAATACTTTCACTATGTTATGGAACAGAGCCTTTGTTTTACATTTGGCTCCTCACATCTAATGATCCGTAGATGGTTAGCTATAAGCAGCAAGGAAATAACGATTTTGCAGACGGTTTGAAGCAACACAAATTTAGTATTGTAACAACTCCTGTATTAAAGTGCAGGCTTGATTTATTTTAGGTCCTGGCAGAGCTGTCTTGACAGAGGGGTCGTGCTTTGAGGGTCCTGATTAATGGTTCTCCCTGAAGCTGCAGTGCCTGCGCTGCCTGGGTCGACCCGTAAGAGAGAGCGGCTCCTTTTCCAGCACAGAGCGGAGTCATAAAAATCACTCAGGGTCTTAATAATGGCTGTCATAGCGGCAAAGAGCGCCAAGGTAACAAGCTGCATGTGGGAAAACAAACTGGAGTGTGGATAAATGTTTCAACACCAACATTAAAAAGCAAGTTAAATAAGACTAAACGGCAGCCGATAACTCACACATGGTACTTGAATTTACCATTATGCTTTGCATTATTATTTCAGCTATTTTCTCACTTATAGCATGAGCAGCTAGTAATTCCTTGATTTGTTATGGCAGATTTGTAAGGAATTTGAAGTTTACAATGCAGCTAGCAAACCACAGCTGCCACTTTCCTTTGGGGCATGACGCGAGAAATTGAATTGACAATGCTTTGCCAGTGACAGCCATGAGATGTAATATTTGGCTAAATCGAATGAGGTGACAGGTGCATTTTGTTTTTGACAAAGGGGACAATGAAGACAGCGACATGCGCCAGACGTGACAGGTCTCTGGTTTTCGCTGCAGACGGGTGTCTATGCTAAAGGCAGTCGCTTACATTCGCTTAATCTGTGAAATCTAGGTCATTCTGCGGTGGCTGTCCAAATGTCCTCGCACGTGACTGTGGAATGATGGGCAAAAACAATTAAAGACATGCTTTTATAGCTATCTGTGTCAGGTGTAGATGAACCATGATTTTGATTCTAGAACACTAGCTGATCTCACGCTATTATCAGCCACCTTATATTAAAGTGATAAATCCAATCTAAATTCATCCTGTGGGGAAAGGAAGAAAGAAATTAAAATGATAGGGATTTAGTGAGAATTTCTTATATTGACTCTGCATTATAGGATTTTAAACAAGCCCCCATAGGATGTTTAATTTAATTCAGGAGTGACTGTACTCATTTCATACATTCATCAGGTCATTTATCATCTTTTTAAAGTTTTTAGTGTTTTTAATGCACTTTAGGAGTGTGCTCACATGAACAACAAAACTTCATTTAAAGTTCATTTTAAGGTTTTACATTATATTATATTTTTTTGTAGGATTTTGTTTTGTAACTTTCAATCCTGAAGTTAACATCATCCCTTGACAGAAACCCAACAGGATTTTCCCACTGGATTTAAATTACTTCGGAAAAAAGGCTCTGTGACCAACAAGAGATAGGTAAAACTATTGCTGTCCATATAATGAAATAACTGGAATTATTCTCATGATCTCTGATGAGTATTTAGAAAGTACAATGAATTGCAATTCAGTGAATGTAAAAAAATAGTTATGGTAAATAATACACGGAAAGAACAAATCTGTAGGAAAACAGATAATGTCCTGGCAGAAAATTACACCATTACATTTTCCGTTAAGTTCATGGACATTTCCCTCAACTCTAAAACATAGCACAATGCAAGGCATAGTTAAAAATATGTATAAAACACCTGTGAAAAATCCATACGGAAAATTCCTTCATACAAAGCTGTCACTGGGGCGGAACCTTTTCAAAATGTACTAACATGTACATTTTACATAATAATGTGTATATCTTTAAGGTACCAGTATAGGTATAAATAAGATACAAATGTGTAGCTTTTGAAAACATTCTGGCCCAGTACCTTTAAAGTACAAAAGGTACAACTTTTGTCACTTTGGTCACTATTTTTATAGAGTGTATGTTCTTAATATTATGTGCATATAAGTCAAGACTGTAGGGTGTGCCATTTGACATTTTAGGATCCGAAGGGTGCAGCAGACTTCTACCCGGCAATCAAAGCTGCATTATATCAGGAAACTTGGGTGAAAACCTCAATGTCTTAGGGTGTCATTTGGGACAGAGCTACAGATGATAACTCGCATTGTAATTGCGACAGCAGGAACAGATCAGAGATATTCAACTCACAGGAGAAAGTACACTCATAATTTTACACTCCATGAAGTCGCATCTAGTGCAGCGTTTTACTCTTGATTTTTCAAAATGGTGTGCTTTGTCCTGGTGAGCGGGAATGCTGTCCTCATCCAGACTGCTGTCCTTCATGAAAGAGTAAGGAAGCACAGATGTCACTTAGAAACAAAAGTGTGCAGTTGGTTTAAACAATGACTTGTCTTGTACATTTGCATCTGTGAAAAATGTTGCCACATAACATTCTTGGCTGTTTACAGCATGCTGGGTTTGTGTGATTTTACAAAGCTCGTGATGCATGAGACACGTGCTTTCAATTTCTGATTGGGTTGTCTGTTGCTAAACATCTAGCCAGAATATTTTAATCACGGCATCATTTCACAGTGCTAAACTCCAGAGCGAGGTTTCATAAGAGTGCTGCTAACCTCCATTCCAATTTACAAGTGTGAAACCTTCCTCTACATAGGGTTAAAAGCAGGGTTTAGAATGACGATAACCCGCAGTTAAGTGCAGTGTGAAATGCCTCTGAGTGCATCCCGTGTTCGTATCCTCCTTTTTTTTCTCTCTCTCTATCTTCCCTTCTGTCGTTCATCAATAATACATGACATGAGCGGTTTTTAGATGACCGCTTCTTTTACTCTGCCAGTTGCTGGGGAGAACTGACACAGTGTGTTGAGTCAGGATTTGCGCAGCCAACTCAACAAAAAAGTGTGTACATGGGTTGCAGACACATTGGATGCTTTGAGTCGCCAAGCGAAGTTATGGAGGCTTTCCATTGTCATTCACATTAACTCAATAGCACTTGTTCGGCTGGTGCAGGATCCCCTGAAAGCATTAGATTTGACATGAGGATAGTATTTATTGATTGGCTGATGGCACTATTGTGCCTTTTAAGTGGGATTGGAAATATCGTAATTACGAGCTCTAAGCACAAGATCGGCCAAATTAAGTCGTATTTACAAGTGGGAAACTCTGAATTATGGATGATTCATGAGTTGCTGAGTTGTGATGTTGGAAGATGCATGTTGATTTGAAACATGGCGGAAACACTGATAATAATCTATATAGAAACTATGGTAACACTTTAGTATGGGAACAATTCTCACTATTAACTAGTTGCTTACAGTGTTTATTTTGACAGCAAATTTAGATTTAGTTTTAGTCATAGTCTTTTGACTAAAATGCCATTTAGTTTTAGTCATATTTGAGTCATCTGAATTGTTTTTAGTTTTAGTCTAGTTTTAGTCGACTAAATATTATACGATTTTAGTCGTCTAAATCTACAGTAAACTATGCAGCAGATTCGTTCTGAATGAATCTCTTCCCAAATCGTCCCTCCCTAACATTTTCGTCTCGTTTTTACGAAAATGTCAATAGATTTACGTCATAGTTTTTGTCATTCAAAATATTTTTATAGTTTGTTATCGTCTCGTTGTCGTCGGTGAAAAAAATGTTGTTGACGAAAATTATTTGTCAACGAAATTAACACTGGTTGCTTATTAGCATGCCTATTATTAACATATTGGCTCGTTATTAGTACTTATAAAGCACATATTCTGCATGACCATATTCTACATCCCTACCCAATACCTAAACTTAACAACTACCTTACTAATTATTAATAAGCAGCAAAATTTGCAGTTAATGGTTTTTTAATGGCAAGAATTGGACCTTAAATGCTTTATGGAACATTTAATTGTGGTACCATGTATAAATAAGTGACAAGTGAATATTTGTCATAATTTGGAATCCATATATAGTTTTTTTTGTTCATAATATATTTTTGGATTTGTTTAGGTTACTTCCATGTTATGTTTCTAACCTGAATGCATGACATGTCGTTATAATGGACACTTGGAGGTACGAGTTTTCTGGGCGCACTTGAAGGCAGCATTAGTCTGTACTGTTCTGTGACGTCAATTGCAGCAGGCAGGGAAAGATAAGTCTATTTTATGCTGCTAAGAGCACTTCAAAATGGGCACTGCTAAAACATCTATCGTAATATAATGAAATATTTACATGCTATTCAATGGCCATCAATGGAGAAAGATACTTTTTGCTCCCATAATGGAGTTGCATTTACCAGATCGACATTGAACTTCTGGCTCAAGCAAAGCCTTTTTCAAAACTATCATTATTGCTGCAGTTCAGTTTGGTGCCATTAAAGTTGCAGAAATTACACACTGCACCTTTAAATGTCAATTTATACTGTATGTTAATGAATGTTTATACCCCAACAATGGTGATAACGATGCCATCAAGGTCTCAGGACCGATTGGTTTTTGATACAACTTTCCAGATTCGCTGACCCACGGTTTTCCCCATTGCCCCATCATCTCTACACACTGCTCTCAGCCTCAACGCTGATCACAGAACATTACCATAAAATCTTTGCAAGCAGTATTTAATGGACAAAAGCCCACTAGAACATCTCTACAGAGTCTTTAAACACACACACTTGTAGGTTCTGAGAGCCATAACCTAAATCTGAAGGCAGCATTATGCAGATATTTTCATGTTCTTTTACTTTGCAAGGATAAGAGCAGCAAAAATCACACACACACACACACACACACACACAATCATTATTCACTCATGATCATTCTTTTCGAGAGCTCTAAAAATCTAATTTGTGTTTAGAATCAAAAATTGCACATTGTTGGCTCATGCTAGGTGTGATGTATTTTGTAATGGAATGTGACGAGCCAGTTCTGAATAGAGAATGGGATTTGAAATTTATGGCAAAAATTAAAATACAAGACTTCAGTTTTGTTCTCCCCCTCCACATAAACCTACTGCATGACTTCAGAAGACTCTGAATATACAGGTACATCTCAATAAATTAGAATGTCGTGGAAAAGTTCATTTATTTCAGTAATTCAACTCAAATTGTGAAACTCGTGTATTAAATAAATTCAATGCACACAGACTGAAGTAGTTTAAGTCTTTGGTTCTTTTAATTGTGACAATTAAAAGAACCAAAGACTTAAGCTACTTCAGTACACGAGTATACACGAGTTTCACAATTTGAGTTGAATTACTGAAATAAATGAACTTTTCCACGCCATTCTAATTTATTGAGATGCACCTGTAGTTACTGGCTCATATGGAATATAGATTCTTTAAAGGGATTGATGGAAAATGAAAGAAGATATTTTGAGACATGTCTCAGGAAGTCAATGGTCCTTTTTGCTGCTCCTTTTTATTCTTTATCTTTAGTGTGCCTCTGTGTACTTTTCTGACTTAGAAACACTTGTGGCCTAATGAAGGCGATTCCAAAAGTTTTGCAGCCACACTTGGGTGATGCCACAGCACAAACAAATAAAAAATGAAAAAAGAAAAAAAAATCAGCTGTGGAGAGAGTTGTAGTGTTCATTGCCTTCCCATCTGTTGCTATTTCAGTACTTACCAAGAGTTGCAAGATGTCATCACGTAGCCCTTTATCAGTATCAGAGTGATGTAAAACTTCACAAGAAGCTGCTCTGAAAGCTATTGCACTGAAATTCAAATGTCTCTACCTTTATCTGCCATAAAAAAGTGCTGCTCTAAATATGCAACACTATATTTTTTAGTTTCTTTGAAATGTCAGCCTAAAACCGAATACTGTGTTGTGTATCTGTCTCACAGGCAAACACTTTGGATGTAATGTTGTAACAGCATTGCATCAACCCAATGACCGCATATTGCAATCATTAATAGAAAGAAGAATTGAGAACAGTTTTTTTCTTTGCTCAGAATTGGACTGATAAAGAAATGTAACTGAATGATTTTCTTAATGTTTGTTTTCATTACCGGTTCCTGATTGCCTGCTAAATATACTAAAATACTCTGACTGTGTTTCATCTTTACACTGATTGAGGGATTCTCATTTGTAGTTCTGATACTTGTCAAACTCAGGCATGCTCTCATCATCTGAGGGTAGATTTGGAGGTCGATTGTGTAAGTAGTCTGAATACAGGCCAGGGACCCACGGACTCCCCCACTAATCACGCAAAACTCGATAACTCTCTCTCTTCTGTCCACATCTTCATAAAAATGAGCTGCTCCACCACAGAGCCAAGGAAAGCTGGGAAAGCCCACTCACAAATCAATAATGACATCAGCGCGAGAAAAGCAATGCCGCCCATCAGCTGCCTCTGCGTGACTGTGAAATTGGCCACTCCATCCGAGACGAGTGAGGGGGAAAATCGTTCTGCATTATACAATGAGTAAATCCCTATAGCTGCATTTCACTGGCTTACTGGATAGGATGCTATTAAATAATAGCTGAGTATGTCAAGACTGCTCTGATTACTTTTGACATCCTTTTATTTTCCAAACTGCTTGGAGGGTCACAGGAACACAGAAGCCTGTCTCAGTGTTTTTAGGGTGTAGGCAGGGGAACACCCTGGATGTATGGCCAGTTGGACAGTTGGCCTCCATTAGGACGTGATTTCTACCGAGACCAAGGCCCCGTCTAGAAATTCCAAATGCATCCCACCTGCAAATGCACCTAATGGCAAATTACAGTCTCCAATTCACATGTCCTGCATGTCTTTGGATTATGGGGAAAACCAACACACGGAGAATATGAAAACTTCACAAAGAGAGAAAGGTCTCCTGGTTCAGTCTAGGCTTGAACTGGAAACTGTCTTGCTTTCTGGTGACAACCAAGTCACTTGGTTTTTTTTGTATTTTGAAGAATGTGACTAAACTTTTCACTTCTATAGTATGGAAACTCTTAAAAATAAAGGTGCTTCACGATGCCATAGAAGAACATTTTTGTCTAAATGGTTCCATAAAGAACCTTTAACATCTGAAGAACCTTTCTGTTTCACAAAAGGTTCTTTGTGGCGAAAGACGGTTCTTCAGATTATAAAAAGATAAGAGATGGTTCTTTATTTTTAAGAGTATACTGTGGAAGTCAACGGGGACCAGAAACTGTTTGTTTACCAACATTCTTCAAAAGTTCTTTTGTGTTCAGCAGAAGAAAGAAACTCATACAGGTTTGAAACAAAATGAGTGTTAGTAAATGATGGCAGAAGTTTAATTTTTAGGGTGAACTATCCCTTTAATGCCAGTTCTTTCAGTGACGTGACATGTGACATGTGGCCAAGTATGGTGACCCATACTCGGAATTAGTGCTTTGCATTTATCCCATCCAAAGTGCACACACACAGCAGTGAACACACACCCAGCGCAGTGGGCAGCCCTTTTTTGCTGCGGCGCCCGGGGAGCAGTTGTGGGTTCGGCCTTGCTCAAGGGCACCTCAGTCGTGGTATTGAAGGTGGGAGAGAGCGCTGTACATTCACTCCCCCCACCTACAATCCCTGCCGGTACGAGACTCGAACCTGCAACCTTTGGGTTACGAGTCCGACTCTCTAACCATTAGGCCACGACTTCCCATAGTCAGGCCACGACTTCCCATTTCATGCTCCTTCCTAATTGTGTCTCTGTTATAACTTAATAATTCTGAAGAGAGAAGGTCCTTCAGTCTTCATAGTAACAGATCTAGACCATTTACTGGTCATTTCATGCGTGTTTCATGGAACAATTAAAACTTTATCAGGTCACACTTTAGTTTGGGGACCAATTCTCACTATTAACTTTGACTTTTGTCTCAACAAACTCCTAATTTGCTGCATATTAATAGCTGTAAGCTAGTTGTTAGTTAGGCATGTATTAAGGGGTCTAAAATATGGTCATGCACAATAAGGCATTAATATGTGCTTTATATGTACTAATAAATAGCCAATATGCTAGTAATATGCATGCTAATAAGCTACTAGTTAATAGTAAGAACTGGTCACTTCCAGGAGTTGGGATTCTTGAGCTCCTGGAGAAAACTCATCATCATAATATAACTGCTGTTCTTGTGCCATAAATTAGTTGTGGTATGTTTTAATGAGAAAGTGTAACAATGAACAGAGCAATGAACAGAGCAATAGCAAGATCAACAATTGCATTGGAGCAAAGCTGAATATTTGGAATGAGAAAGGATAAATATTATTCATGAATATTCAAGTTTAATTGATATTAATTATACATTATTCTATTTGATTAACTGCGTTGGTGCTTCATATGGATTTGGTGACCTACACAAACTGCTTGTATGAAGCTTCATTCCTGACCAGGATGGACAGGTTTTAATATCAGAAAACTGCTTTCACAATTACCAAATGAATCGAACCCTGATGTTGAATGCTTGTCCCAAAAGCTCACAAAAGTTTGCAAGCACACTATAAGCTGCAATGTAGAGCAGACTTTATTACCAGAAGTCTGACTGCATAAGACAAAACCCCCTCATAAAGCTGGCTTACACAATCCCCTGCTAAATATTTAACATTCATAAATTAGTCTCGCATTCAGACACTGCTAAAACCTTTTTAGACTAATCATTTTAGGCTCAAGTTTGAAAAACAATTCCTCTATTTTTTGCTTGAATCCTTTACCCAAAGTTTCAAAGGGCTTCAAAAGAGAGCAACACTTTATCACACAGTCTTATCATCTGTGAAATGACATTTGCAGAAAAAAGACTTTTGAGAATGTGCACTCAAAAAAACTTTCCATTTCTGGTTTATGTATATCTGGTTTATGTGTTTCATTTTCATTCATTCATTCATTCATTCATTCATTTTTGTTCGTGTGTGACACCATTTTGGGGATCCATAAATTATCTTGCTAAAAATGAGTTAACTTTTACAAAATAATGAATTAAAGGGATAGTTCCCAAAAAATGAAAATACCGTCTTCATTTACTGACCCTTAAGCTGTTTCAAAACTGTATGAATTTCTTTCTTCTCCTGAGCACAAAAAATATATATATTTTGATGAATGTGTGTGTAACCAGAGT